AACTCTTTTCAAGTTTCACATGATCAACAGATCAATAAAACAAGAAGAGAGACGGAAGATTGATGGTAGTATTGATGGATGAATTATGATGTTAAAATGGCAGTATTATATGGCGCGACATATGCATGCATGAGAAAACAGAGTTGGGAAGATGCAGAGAAATGAAAGGGGAATAAGGGGAGAGTGTCGACATTGTTTGACGAAACCGTAAGTGTTAATTGAAAGAGATGGCGTGCACGGTACGAGTTACGATCTTGTGGTAACATATAAGTTCCACCATGTCGACATTTATTTTTCTCAAAAACCAGGACCAAATTTATTTGTTGATTTCTATAATAAAACAACTTTACCCAATTACACATTATTATTTTGGTTAATTACAAAGATTAAATTTTTTTGTTAAAAAAACAAAACATTAATGATCCAATTGTTAAACTAGATAGGATGATAAAAGAGAGTGTTATTCTCTTTAAGAGTTTTAGGTTCGAACGGTTGCATATATAAGATATGTATAGTTAATGATTACGAAAATTATGAAAATATACTTCCTTATAATCATAAAAAAATATTAAAAATATAAGATGATACACAAATTTTCTAATTAAAAATAAAAAAAATAATTTTATTATGAAAATGTACTTCCTTATAATCATCATAAACTATTAAAAATATAATATGATACATAAATTTTTTAATTAATACTAAAAAATAAATTTAATCACCCCTAAGTTATAATCATAATTTTTTATTGAAGTAACTAATTTTATTAAAAATAAGAAATATTCAAAATTACAATTAAGGTTTATAATTATAAATATAATCGTAAATTAAATACATGATTAAGACATTTTTTTATAATCATTGACACAAGAAATTAACCATTTGAGATCATATTAAGACCATATAAGAAAAAAGTTAAAAAAATCCAATCAAAAAATTTAATCAAAAAATAAATACAAATAGATCTGACTGCACTGACAAACAAAACAAAAACATGGGATTAAATTACTAAAGACTACTGACAAATTACAAATCAAAGTCGAACGACGTGCGAAAACTATCCTTGAAAGCAACCACGTATATAAATTCAATGAGATGATCCAAAGTAAAGAATATCAATAGAATAACAAATAATCCTCATTTTGATTTGTCGATGTGATTTCAAATTCAACCCTATCTCATAAATGAAAAGAACGATTAAATGACCGATAAAAAATTAAAAATATGTCAAAAAAATATCATAAAGATAAACTTATTAAAAACTAAAAAAACAAATGAGAAACAAAACTACACTGTAAGAATGTAAAGCTTGAATTGTAATGTTAGAATAAAAACTAAAAATCTTATACACTGAAAATGAGGTGGATTGTAATTATATAAGAGACTTTTAAAAATATGTGTTTGTCTTTCAATGTTAAAAGAAAAAATAAAATTACTTTATTTACTATCATATATTAATGTAAATCATATATGAATTGAAGGGTAGATGGGATAGTAATCCCTTGAAAATTTTAAATTAACATATATTTTAATTTTTTTATTAATAATCTATTTCACTTCTTAAAATTTTAAAAATCTTCTCTTATATAGGACGATGTAAATAATATACTATTAGTTAATATTTATTAGCAAAACCACCATTGACTTTTAAACATTTTTTCAAAAGCTTGTTAGTCAAAAAGAAAATATTTGTTTTGCTTAGTGTTGCAAATTTTCTCGTATGCACATTGTGGTATAGTTAAAATATTTGGTCTCATGTGAAGCTTGAAATCCAAGTATTTCATCTTCTAATGTCAAACTCGTAATGAATGTCTTCAACAACTATGTGGTCATGGGATGGGAAATCAACATTAAAGGGGAAAATTTGTGGCACGTGCATATACAAGAAGAGTAGCGTGTTTAGATGACAAACATACTTATGTTCTTCACATGCAAATCGGTTTTTATACAAATTTATCGTGCCCATATACCTTGGTATGTATTGATATACCCACATGTATATGATTCATATGCATGTGAGCAAGAGGCGCACTATACTTTGCACCCAATAAAATGATTTAAGTTATTTTTCCATACAAGGATTTATTTTACGGTCGTTTACTACTTTCTTTTTATATGTAGTCTATTAAATAGTCTTAATAGTTAAAATGAGTATCATTTTCTCTATAAGTCTTTAGTTCAGACATTTATATGTCTATAGGATATATGTTGTCCATGATTAATAAAAATTTTGAACGGATATTATTTATAATCACTTCATACTATTCAAAAAATAATTTTTTTACATATTATTTATCATTTTACTTTTGATAATTCATTGAATAAAATTTTTTAAATAAACCTTTTATATAATTTTTTTCACTTTCAGCATGAAAGTGATAAAATCTAATTTAATATTTTATTAAATATTGGTTTTTTTAAGAAAAGCGTCTTTAAAATTCCTTTTCATATTTGAATTAAGTTAAAACTCGATTGATGATTAGATAACATTTGAAATTTGAAATTTTGATTTCAAATATATAGTAAGTTGATTAATGAAATATTTAAAATTCTAGCATTAACTATTATTCCCCAGATTCATATTTTTGTTAAATGCTCACCTTTTTTTTAATTTAACAAAGTTATGGTTTTATAAATTTTAAATATATATTTTATTATCAACTATAGTCAATATGATGGAATGAAACATTAAATTCTTTAAGTTCTGAGACTTAAGTTCTGACGTTACGAATGAAAAAAAAAATAGATTGTGAGAGTGACATCCATAGTGAATCTACACAATATCCATTTCAAATTAATCAAATTATAAATCGAATATCAATAATTACACTAAAAAATTATATAATATATTAAATCCTAATTTTTATATAAAAATATACTAAAACTTAATTATCTATCACAACATATATATATATATATCCCATTTTTATTATTTACCCAACAAATAAAATCTAATTTCACACCTAACATCAGTAAAACTATAAATCAAATTCAGACTCAAAAGGTTGAGATTTTTTGATTTATCAACAACCTATAAAGTAAGTGGTTAAAAGTTCTTGGTTGGCATTTTCTCTCTCCTCTAAGTTGTGTGTTCTATATATGTTATGATAAAAAAATTCTCCTTAAATAGAAATTGTTCAAAAAACAATAATTTTTTTATTTTATCAAAATCGAACGTGATTCAAATTGTTTTTAAAAAATTAAAGTGGAAATATTAGAACTTAATTGGTTTGACAAAAAATAATTAAATTTTAAGAATCTAATTTAAGTGAAATAGGTGGAATTACAACTAAAAATTGCAACGGTATACATAGTAAAATAACAAAGCGAACACGCCGTACTAGTAATTTGGTTCGAGAAAGAGGAAAAGCATGAAACATGAGTTGGATGTTCCCCTAAAGAAAATATATGAAATTAGCGGATTGTTGAATATCCTTCGATTAATGGAGTAACTATTGGACTTAAATTTTGATTTGGAGTAATTAACTGCTAATTATTATTTTTAAATTTTCTATACCAAACTGGACGTCCTCGGTGGCCTTTGGACATTCTACAATTTATTAAAGAGAAACTATATTTTCATACTCAATTTTGTTTGTATCACTTCATTTTTTCAAATTAATTACTTAATTTTTTATATTACTTCTATTTTGATTTTTATACTATTAGATAATTAATAGTATTATTATAATATATCATATGTATTTTTAAATCATGAAATGGCTATTTTTTTAGTTATCATCAAATTTTATGAAATCTTCGTAAAGTCTTATTATTTAGAATCATCTTAATTTTTCAATGTTAAAGTATTTTTCTTATAAATTCAAACGGCGAGGATGTGGAAAAAAGTGAAAAAATATTTATTATGATTTTAGGTTGATAAAACAAATGAGAATTTTTTTTATTCCAAATTCAAACGGTGAGGATGTGGAGAAATATATTTTTTTTGAGAAAATCTAAATTAATAGAGTGATAGGGGATAATAAAATATTTTCATTGATGGTTTTAGTGATTGAAAAAAAAAATTAGAAAATGACGCTTTTTGACATTAATGCGATATAGAGATAAATTCTGAAATTTAACTTTGCGAAAGAATATATAATATAAAAAAAAAGAATTAAGATGATCAATACGTGACTTATATCTCAATTTAAAAAATAGTTTTCGCAAATATATAACTATCGACATTTTATTGTTTTTAATTTTATGTTCGAGTGATAAGAATAAAAAAAATTGAGATTTGAATGATTAAATTCATTTTTAAAATTTAATAAACAAAATGTGAATAAATCAAGTGATGGAAAATATAATTATTTTTTATCCTAATATTTACTTTACCGACTTTCCAGTCGGTTTAAAAGTGATTTACTGCTTATCCTTTTTAGTTAATCCAAAAAGTTATTTTTGTGGAGATATGATTCTTTCCTTAACAAACGTGATTAAAGGATATTTTCTTTTTTATCATACAAACTGTCAAACACAGCCTAATTGGTCCAAAACAATATTCCTTAATTGATCATTTCTTACATAATGAACCGACTTATTTCTTTCCAACCCAATTTATTTATTTCGACGTAATTTAGATAAATTCACTTTCTTTAAAATTGCCTGGAGACAGCTAGTGCAAATAGCTAACCGTCCGATCAAACTCTTCTAAACCGTTGGATCTAAATTCTCCAACTACAAAAGGTTAAAGGAAGAAAATGTGACCTTATTTTTTCTTATAATTTATTATTTTACCTATCGCCCGTCTCAAAAAAGACCATTAAAGGTAACCAACGTGTAAATATATCTGGATCTAATAATTTTATAATTATTTTAAATGATTAAAAATTCATATATATTTTATTCGAATTCGTATGTCTTCGTTCTAGATCTAAATCCGGTGAAGTGGCGACTACTACTTTGGGTGGAGAGTTCTTTCTTTCTCTTCGATTCTTCTCCTCTTCCAAAAACCTTCAATTCTTTGTGTGTTTCTTTGTCTTTTCTGTTTTCTCGTAATGTCGGACAAAGTCTTCCCTTCATCCAACCCACCGCCACGGCTGCTCCACCGACCGCCAACGGCGGCAATGCTGGAGTTCCAGCCAACGGTGGCACCACAAAACCCCACCTCTATAACCCGACTTCTCGTCCGCCATATCGTCCACAACCCTATAACCACCGTCACCGTCCACGGCGGAACTGTTGTTGCTGCTGCTGTTTCTGGACCATCCTCGTAATTCTCATCCTCGCGCTATTAGTAGCCATAGCCGGTTCCGTCTTTTATGTACTTTACCGTCCTCATCGACCTTCATTTACGCTCGCTTCCCTCCGTATCCACCGCTCAACTTAACAATTTCCTCCAAAAACCCAAACTCACACCTTTCCTTCTCTTACGACCCTTTCGTGGTTTCATGCGTATCGAGCAACAGTGATGTTTCTATCGGCAACGGGTCATTACCACCTTTGGTCAGTAACAGCAAAAACGAGACGACTTTCAGGGGAGTTGTGGTGGCGACATCGAGTGATCTGGATGAGGAGACGGCCAACAATCTGAGACCGGATCTGAAGAAGAAAAATGGGATCTCGTTGAAAGTTGAGATGGATACCAAAGCGACGGTGAAACTGGGTGGATTGAAGAGCAAGAAAGTCGGGATCAGGGTTTCGTGTGACGGGGTTAAAGGGGTTGTTCCAAAAGGCAAATCGCCGTCGGTGGCTAATGTTGCTGGTGCCAAGTGTAAGCTTGATCTCAGAATCAAGATCTGGATATGGACGTTTTAGGAAACTACATTGCAAGTCTCAGACCTAATTCTTTTATTTAAATATTTTTCCTACATTACTTTTTTCATCGCTTTTAGTACAAGCTTTTTTGTTTTCTGGGATTTGTGAAAGAAATTATGAAACAAATCAAAATTCAATTGAGGGAATTTTATTTTTATTAGAATTAGGAAAAAAGAGGCTGAAGTATAAAGATGTTGAAGCTTGTTTATTTTTTGTTTTGAAGATTGTTATATGCGTTAACGCTATATTTCCTTGGAATAATTATTACATTTATATAAATATAGAAATTTGTTTTGCATCATTATTGTAATTTCGCTGTAATCATCTTGTTTTCATTACTATCTTAATATATGAGAATTAAATACATTATTTTATTAATTATGAAATGATCACATCAATGAACTTAATAATTAAAAGCTGAATGATGAAAACATATTCTTACTAGTAATACAGTAATGGTTGTGTAGTTAAGCATAAGGTAATATAGGTTTTGGCTCTTTGAGAAGAGGAAGACAGTGGAAGTGTGAAGCGTCGTGGCCGCGTGGAGGGTGATAACTGGATTAACTTTTGCTTTGGTTTTTCTAGTACACGATTGTGCTTTGGTGAGCAGTTCAATCATATATTAACAGCAGTAAGGTGTTCAATTTGATGATTTTAGAACGTGGCTAGAGAATCCAACTCGGCTGTTGAGCTTCTTAGTGGTCAGCTTGGATTCTATTTTGTGGGCCAAATTGTTTGCCAAGTATCTGCCACAAAAATGTTAGCTCGGCTGTTGAGCTTCTTAGTGGTGGAAAATGCAAAGCAAAACTTTCCACACGGGGGAGATTAAGTTGAGTGATATCATGAATAAATGTGTGATTTTAGATTAGAAGATAAATTTATAAAATTTTAGACATAAAAACAAATTATTAATATAAAATCTAAAGAAAATATCTTTGAATTTCTGCCATCCCTCAATCCTTCATGAGTGATACCATAATTTTGCATCCATTACAATAGGATCTGCAATCTGTACGTAGAATCAAAAGCAACATCATTTTTAAGAGATAAGTCTATCAATGAAGAAGCCTTGAAAAAGAACACATTTTGAAATTCCAAATTGAGTTTAAAAGCCAGCAAAACTGAGAACCACAAACATCAATATCTCACCCCGATTAGGCAGGCAAGAAACAAGTAAGGGAAACTAAGTCCAATGAACAAGGATCGCCTCCCTATTTGGCACCGACCACAAAAAAATGAAAGATTCAAGACCTTTTAATAACTTCGAAAATTTTTCTGGTAAGGAGCAGTCGTTGTCTTCCCACACAAAAATAACCTCTCGAGAATGGACCGAATAACGTCGGATGAGCCCCCAGGTCAACAACTTCTCAGAAGCAGTAAAATAACATAAATGAGTCAGAAAAACCGCAAAACACTAAACGAGAAGAAAGGGAGACATCCATCAATGGGAAAAGAAATGCTTTAACAACACAAAATCAAAGAGAAAATATGTGCTACAAATTTATTTTTTACCAATGGCTCTTGCTTAATCAGTGTAGTTGTGAATATTAGCTGAAGTTGTAATTGACACTATAGCAAGTGGTACGTACTGTTTTAATCTTCTTAAAACACAAAACTTTAAAAGATATCCATAACCATAATCTCCCTCCTTGAACCTTCAATAAGGAATATCCAATCCAAAACTCTCCTACGAAAAAAATGGGTTTTGGTTCATTAGCCCATAGATGGTTGGATAGGGCTTCGTTTTTGGATCCGAGAACAAAAAAGAAAAATCGTTTAACACTTCTGAATAGTTTCAGTAGATAAGAATATCCGATACTTGTATCTTCTTCTTCACTTCGTTTCTAAGCTTTACTTCTTTCAAGGTAAATACTTTTTTTTGGGTTCTTTATATGTTTATTATTTATCGTTGGATGGTTTGAGATGGGAAGTGGTTCTCAAATGAGAAAGTGAACAACTTTTAAACTGTTTTTTTTGGACAAGTAAGAATTTATTATCCAGAAGAACAGTACTACAAATCGTCCCAAAAGGGAGTATAAACACTATTTACAACAAAATATTGGTTAGTCTATACCCCAATTACAGCAGATGTTATAGTTAATATAATCATTTCTATTGATTTTTTTTTACACTAAGTTGAATCCGGACAATATCCTTGATGGTTGACAGTAGATGTGCAGCTTCTCTAGCTCTTTACTTGAAGATTCTTCTATTCCTCTCCTCCTAAATCGAATAGATGTAGGAAGTCCATGCAATTTTCAATAAGATGGAGATTAAAGATTTACCCCTCCATTCAACACAAGCCCATTCTATCATTGATTCCTAAGATAAATGAGGTTTATGCAAATGTGCCAAATTTAAGATAGAATTCCACAGAGATTTGGCAAAGATGCAGTCAGCAAAAAGATGGTTCATAGATTCGGTAGCTTCATTGCAAAGAACACATTTAGCATCAATGACTATTCTCATCCTTGACAGTCTATCCATAGTTAGAAGTCTGTCTAGGATGGTCATCCAAGCAATCATACTAAACTTAGGAATATGCATAGGGAACCAAATGATTTTATGCCAAGATACCTTACTCTTTCTATCTCGGACTGCTTCCCAAATATCTTTAGTGTAATTCATTCCTGAATTCAGAATGGGAAGCACAGTATGTCTCAGTTTCAGAAGCTTTTTGATGCTTCAGCTGTGAGCATTACTTGCAACCATGTCCAGTAGGTATTATTCTTGAAAACATAACAGTTCAGCCAAGCTACCCAAAGGGATCCTTCTCTCGCCAGAATATTCCGAATTAGTTGAATCAAGAAAGAAATGTTCCAGGATTTTAAGTTCTTTAGACCTAATCTACCTTCTGATTTAGGGCAGCAAATACTTGACCAGCTGACTCGTGCCCCAGAAGCTTCCTGATCGGTTCCTTTCCAAAGAAAATGAGAGCAAAGTCGATCAATACGATTAATAATAGATTGAGGGAGCATGAATTGTCTGCACCAGTAATTGGCCACACTGAAAAGAATTGTTTTGATTAACTCAAGTTTACCAGCGTAACTTAGAAGCTTACTTGACTAGTGGTACAACTTTAATTTGATTTTATCCAGAAGAGGCTGACAGTCAAGTTCAGACAGCTTTTTGGTGACTAATGGAACCCCTAAATACCTGATAGGAAGCTGGCCATACTTAAAGCCTGAAATGCTTTGGATAATTTCAAGATTTCTAGAGGAAATACCAGCATTAAAGAGTTCTGTCTTGCTAACATTAAGCTTGAGTCTAGACAGAGAATAGAATTAGTTTAAAACAGAAATGATTCCAGCAATAGAATCATGATTTCCTTTTCAGAAAATATGGAGGTCATCAGCAAAAGAGAGATGGGTTAGCCTAATTTTTTTGCATTTAGGGTGATACCCAAAGATCCCTTTAGAAGCTGTAAGATTAAGGATTTTAGAGAGTATGTTCATAGCAAGCACAAATAAGATAGTGGATAAGGGGTCACCTTGTCTGATCCCTCTTTGACCTTTGAAATAACCAACTAAGCTACCATTAAAGGAGATAGAATATATGGCTTCTTTGAAACACACCTCAATCCAATTTAAGAAGATACTTGGAAGACCAATGACCTTAAAATTAGCAGAGATGAAATCCCAATGGAGAGAGTCAAAAGCCTTTTGAAGATCGATTTTAAGAGCACATCTCACAGAGATTTGTTTCCTTCCATATCCTTTTACAAGTTCCTGAGCTATGAGAGTGTTGTCGATAATAGATCTTCCAGGGATAAAAGCATACTGGTTAGAAGTAATAATAGCAGTCAGTAGTGTGGTCAGCCTTTTAACAAGGATTTTGGAGATGATTTTGTACACCACAGAGCAACATGAGATAGGTCTGTAATCCTTGACAGTGTTAGGATTATTAAGCTTAGGGATCAAGGCTATAATCGTGGAATCAAAAGCAGGTAGGATGAAAGCTTATTCAAACAAAAATCTGATTGCTTTGGTAACATCTTATCCTACCACAGGCCAAGCTTTTTTGAAAAATAGAGGGGTAAAGCCATCTGGGCCAGGAGATTTGTCATTTCCTTGGTTGAAAATGGCATCTTTAATCTCATCATTAGTGACCTTTCTGACTAAGTCTGAATAAATGTCAGTATGCATGTCGAATTGAAGAAAATTTTTCAAGAAATAAGGATCAATTTGTTGTAAATTAGGATCAACAGAACCTAATTGTTGCTTGGAGTGATTTAAGACTTCATAAGACATATCTTCGAAAGATTCCAGCCTTTTACCTTGAGCATTAATAAGGACCCTAATAGTGTCATTTTTATTTTTATTGCAATAACAGAATGAAAGTATTTAGTACACTTGTCTCCCTCTTTAAGCCACTTGACTTTAGATTTTTGCCTTAAAAACAGATTTTCAGCTTCCTCCAGTGCAACAAGTTCATTTTGAACAGATAGTTCATTTTCAGGAGGGCTGGTACCTTTAAGAGTAGAGATTTGGACTTGCTCCAGCTTTGTTTTCTTGAGTTTGACTCTAGCAGATAGATTACTGTAGAACTTCTTGTTCAAGGCTTGTAAACAAGGCTTAAGTCTTTTAAGTTTGAGAAAAAGAGCTTGCATAGGGTTACCATGAATAAATTGCTGCCATGATTGACTCACTTCATCAAGAAAAGAATGATGGTTGGACCAAAAATTGAAGAACTTAAAAGGTTTAGATTTGTTGGTATGGGCTTCTTTATTCAACCATGTTAGAGCCATACAATGATCTGAAGGGCCTAGGGTAAAAAAAATCAACATAAGACTTACTGAAGGAATTGACCCAATGAGAGTTTATGAGAACTCTATCAAGTTTCCTTGAATGGAAGGCTTCTTTTTGTTTGTTACTCCATGTAAAGGTAGGGCCAAAAAATGGATGGTCCTGAAAGAGGTCTTGAACCACTTCAGTGAAGTCTTTCATATCAGTGGAGAGATAAGGACGTAATAGGTCAGAGACAGAGCTTTCATGGTAGTG